ATATTCCTCCAGCACTGCATGTGTTGATGACAATACGAAAATTCCGAGGAATTTCTCACTAGTTTCTCTACACTTCTACACGAATTCTTAAGTAACTACTGAGCTAACTCCTCGAGGTCAGCTGAGGATAGCGAACATATATTCCTGTACATGTGTCGGTAGCAATACGAAAATTCTGAGAATTTCTCATTAGTTTCTCTACACTTCTACACGAATACCTCTATAATCTAGCTTTGAAAGCTCCTCAAGCTCAGCTGAGAAAAACAAATATATATTCCTACTCCAGCACTCACCTAACATTTTGTGTTTGAACTCGAGAATTGCATTCAAGTCCGCGGTGTTGTTCCTCGCATGTCCCGACGGGTACATAACCATACCGCTACAGTACTTCTTACCTGATCAACACATATGTGTTGGTGACAATATGAAAATTTTGAGGAAATTCTTAGTGCTTTACGTGCATTTCTACTCAAGTGTGTATGTAGACTTCTATAACTAGTGAGGAAAATTTCATAAAACTCATAAAAGACTCATAAAATTTCATTAGTTTCTATACACTTCTACACGACTTCATATACGAACTCGTATAATCAATCAGAAAACCGCACATATATTCCAACTTTTACGAAAACGCTTTCCAAAAAACGGTACCAAACAAAAAAAAATTCCCAATACTACCATCATCATCAGTGATCTCCACAGACGTCGGAATTCCGTCCGGATATTTCTGGTCGTATTCAGACCCTCCATGAGAAAAACTTATCTGCACCAACTCACTCACTAAAACGAGTATCACCCAAAAATTCACATCACTTTCTCCATCAGATCTCTGGTCTGCCTATCATTCAACGCCTGATGACCGTAGTCGTGTGGGGATAGCATCCAGCTGGTCCACGCTTCCTCGTTAGTTTTGGGAACCTACTAATGAGAATCCAATCAAAGCCTGTAAAATAGAAAAATATGAAAATATAGAAAAATTTAGAAAAATAGAAAATGAAAAAATATGAAAAATTCGGAGGATTTTTTTTCTTTTTTGTACAGACTATGGTGGTGAAGTACGCGCATGGTCAACTACATGTGTTGGTGGTGACACTATAGAAAATTCTGAGACAATTTTAATTGCTTTCCCTACACTTCTACTCGAATTCGTACGTAAACTTCTATAATTAGTGAGGAAACTCCTGACCTCAGCTGAGCATACGAATAATATTGAAAATTCTTTTCCTAAAATCGTAAATGAGCTCCCCTCATCCGCCAGTACTCCAGTGACGTCTAATATTCCCTAGACTAATTCATTTTCAATTTTTCACGTCAATTTCACCACATTTCCTCAAACCCTTATGGCGCTACCTCTCCCGAAGACCCATTAAGCTTCAATAACAATGATGAAATTTTTCCATAAAAAAATATGGATACTCATTTTT